ATTTGAGAGTAAAAATGACAGTTTCTAAACATTCGAGATTCATGAGCAAATTATTGCATTTTAAATATTAATATTTTAATATTTAATTTTAATATTCTGAATTGTTTAATTATATTTTCGTATTTTCTCACACTACAAAATACTACAGTAAGAAACTTTAAATAAATTAAAGAAAACAGATCAATATTCGTGCGCCCTCATCGATTCGTGTGTAAACGTGGTACAGTATTGGTAAACTGTAAAAACGTGACTGATAAGACACAGCTCAATCAGTGTTTATCTTTGAGAGGGTGGGGGTCAAAAGAACAAGAGTTATCACAAACCGGGTTTTCTAGGTATATAATAGTGGTGGTGGTGGTGCTTTCTAATCTTATTAAAGGTGGAAAGAAAAAGTCATAATGGTGAAAAAAACAGTTTCACGCTACTACTGATACTTAGGCCTAGTAGTAGTAGGGCCTAGGCCTAGGCCTAGGCCTAGTAGGTCACCCCCCTCTATATCGTCCTCAGGCCAAGGATTAAGCCTAGCCTAGAGCCAAGGCCTAGTACTTGTAGGCTAGGACAAGGCCCTAGATAGGCCTATGCCTAGTTAGTAGGTTAGCCGACGCCTATTACCTAGGCCTAGCCTGTGAACACTATTATAGTGGTGCTATTACTAGGCCTAGGCCAACTACTAAAGAACAGGCCTATCTAGACCTACGCCTACTAACTAACAGCTGTAGGCCTAGCCCTAGTTAGTACATTTATTTTTAATAAGTTAGACTATATGTAGGCCTAGGGCCTTTTATTTAGGCCCTAAATTCTTTTGGCCTCCTGACCTAGGTTACCTCTTGCTCAACCTATCTAGCATTGTCTTTCAATTAATGAGATTAATTAGGCAGGTACATTTCTCATTATGAAACATGAATGTATTATTGTTCAGTAGTTGCGATTTTGCACACCTATTTTCCTAGCTATACAGTATTCCATGCATATTTGAACCAATTTTTTATATATTTCCCGCACAATCAAAATTAAAAATACTTCGCGTATGGCTCAAGATTGTTAATCTATTTTGCAATCATGCTACACAGTGGCTATGTTCACACCATAGGCATAGCCAGTGATCTGTCTGGTCGTCTTTTGGACGGCCAACAATTATTTAGGGCGGCCACTTTTACCATGACAGCTTGGACGGCATGGCCTAATCAGCTCGGCCTAGCCTAATAAGGCCTTGTCTACCTTTAGCATTTCTTATATTCTTCAAATCTATCATATGTTACATTAAACTAAATTATATTTACGTTTGATAAAAAACAACCTTTATTGATTGAATGTACGTTGTTCTCATACCAATATTCAGTGGGGATTCCCAAAAATGCCTACCCGGTGGAAAGTTCACCTACAACTAGTGTAGGTCCCAACATCTATACCCAGCTGGAAAGTGGATGGTTCTGAGTTGCCCACAACGCATGCACGTGGCTCGAGCTGCAAATACAATACAGTACTTACGATTTGGTTCCCCGACATAATATTGTTTTTCGTAATTCTCCGGTTATAATTAATTCATTCCTTAAAGAAGATTTGTTGTTAAGGTCACAAGTTCAATTTTATTAGTCAACCAAATACAGTAGGTCTAAGCCTATCTCTTGATTCAAAGGACCTAGAGTAGAATTTACACTATCCTAAGGCAAGAGATGAAGATGCATTTGCATAGCCTAGAATATGTGAGTAACCGTAGCTGTGCGTAATCTATGTCTGAAATATTTTTGTGATAGCTACAGTAATTTAACACTATTCCTTTTTAAGACAAAATTCCAACATTTAAACACCTTTAAATGCCCTCTGAAGATCATAATTTTCTATTTTTTTCTGATGTTTAAGAGGAGCTTCCATTTTGGACGGCCTATTTCGTTTTTCTGGCTAAACCCTTGGTTCACACCCACAAGGACACACACACACACACACACCCAGCTAACAGTTAGCAGGATTCAGATAAATAACGTAAGCTCTCACCTTTGCGTTCATACAAAAAAATCCCCCATCCAGATATGAAGAAGATGACAGTGGGATCACTGGAGGAAACTGGCAGTTGGAAATGGGTACTTGTTAATGATAGAAACATGCTCAACTTTCTAACTGACAGCGCTGATTTTGGTAATGGTTAGTGATAATCGATCAGGCGTTCTCACACAGGTGCTAACTGTTACTGCTAATGGTTAGCTCCCGATTCGGATACTATACTATGGCTCTATGTGAACCTATGCAATGTTATTTGCATACTCTTCTTAAGGGATTTTACCAAGTTCTTCCAGTGAAATTTAGTACACTGCCTAATCCTCTTTATTTATCTTGCAATTTAGTCTTTAGACAAAATGGTAAAGAAATATGAGGCTGATGTGTGTGTGATAGGTGCTGGAATATCAGGCCTAGCAACTGCCAAGTGTTTGAAAGAAAAGGGGTTTAAAGTTGTCATCCTGGAACAGAGTGAGCAAGTTGGAGGCCTCTGGTGCTTCAGAGATCATGGCTATGGAGTTATGCGATTTACACATATGTACGTACAATCAAGTTTCTTATGAGTGGTGGCACAAATTAGTACAGAATATGAGACTCTAAATCTATTAAATGAGTCTTTGAAATCCATAAATTTTTTGACTTTCCAAGTGCTTTGCACCCTGAACTCCTCTGCAGGGTTTTGGGCTGCCCAAAGAAATCAGCCTTTTCATCAGGGAAATCGAAAATGTGCCCTTTATGAAATAAGTACCATCTCTGCTAATAGTTCAGTTGATAGGGCAACCGAATGATCTCTGGTTCGAATCCCAAAGGACGAATTAAATTTTCTGAAATATTTGTTTAGTTTTTTTATATTAAAGTTTGTAAGTAGTGATCAATACCAAAGTTACTACCATGTGATTTAGAATACATAAAAGTTACCTTTCAAAGTCCAAGGTATTTGCGTGTTGTAGCTTTCGCTCTCATCTCGACAGCTTCATCAGTGAATTGATTGTGGCTTACTATAAGTCACATGACCACTCACAAGCAAGGGAGTTGAGGTCTGCATGAAAGATAAAATGGCAAATAAACACTCATTTTATTTATGTGTGTTTTCAGCAAAGCAGAAACATGAAATCATTGGTGATACTACATTAGTATTTTAAAAAAAATGCATAAAATATTTTCAGGGAAGGGGAATTTGACTATAGTCTTGACTCAACCATTACAAAATACCATAAAAAATAGTGCTACCAGTTCGTTTCCCCTCCCCTTATTAAATTATTACCATAATTGTTAACTTATGTTTTTTTTAATATAATGGCGTGTGTTTGATAAAAATAATATTGTTACGTAGCTATTTTATCACAAATGTTGTGATACAGCACTTGTAAGTTATAGAAATTTTTAGACCAACAATTATATTTTTCGGTTTTTTAATTGAATTTACTATTTTCTATTTTATCACAGAAATGTTTCAAAGCATAATTACTGTTTCTCGGATTTCCCTTTCCCTGACCATGTGCCAGATTTCCCACACAATCGTGACATGGCAGAGTACATTAATGATTATGCAGTGAACTTTGCCCTAGATAAATTGATTCATTTCAACACTCGAGTTGAAAAAGTTGAAAGGTCAGGTATGTATATTTAAATATGTTATATTTTAATTCTTTTTCAGAGTTGTAGTTTTTGTTGCTTTGAAGTATTGTATGGAATTATTTTATCTAATGCATGTGTGCATGTGTAGGTATTACACTGAGTTAAAATCCACACTAAAAACTATACACACATGCCTCTAGATTAACCATCGACCCACCCTCCCCACCCCATCCTACTGTACTACTGCCCTTTGTGTATTGAATAAACCATTTGGTTTCATCTACATGCCAGCAGTACACCACATGTCAATTTATATGCTAATCCAAGACCTGGTGATTTGTAGTTTATGTGACAATTTGTAGTTTATGTGACAATATGACCGCATGGTAAAACTCATTTAATCAATCTCTAGCCCATAGGTATTACGCTACTGACCATCGTCATTACAGGATTATCATCATTATTATCACCATTATTACTTTTATTTATTATTATTATTGTTAATTATATATTTAATGCTTGTGGTACGCCACAGATAGTTCTGAAAAGAACTGGTGTTAGTTGAGGAAGTCTTGACGCTTGGATGGAGTTGCTTCAATCGTCTTCAGGAGAATAATATCTGCAGAGAATCCAAACAGGGAAATACTTATTTGTTTAGATTGGTGCTGCTGATTGGTGGAAAACTAAACAATAACTGAGACAATGTAATAAAAGTTTAATATAATTTATTCTTTTATTATTACGAAGATGATGGTTGGAGAATATCAGCTATTAAAACTGAACGTGGAGGAAGTCACATTACGCAATCAGAGAATGAAATATATAATACCAAGTATGTTGCTATAGCAACTGGTCACCATGCCAAAATAAAAATGCCTGCATTTCCAGGACAGGAAACATTTAAAGGTAGACTTTTGTTGCCTAACAGTGTGTTTCTTATTTCTATTATGGTTTGTTATAGAGTACTACAGTGTTACGTCACGATACCACGTGATACTACTCTGTTGCTATTGTTGCAAAATGCATTCAAGCGGACGCCATTTTCACCACTGACAAACCATTGATCCCAATTTCTAATGTAATTATTAAGATGTTGTATCTCAGTTTTTCTTTGTAAATTTTAATTGATGATTAAATGTGTATTCGATTAATAATATAATGAGAGCTTTTGTGTTTTTTGGTACATTTTAATGTAAAATTTAAGATTTCAAAATGCCCATTCCAGAAAGCCTATGAAGTCATTTAGGCGTAATGAATGGTAACCAACGTGTGGTTGGCGACAGAGTGCGCCACCTGGCATTGTGACAACATGACTGTGGTACTCTATATTAGTCGGGAAGAGTGTCTAAAGTTGTGTCCACATCACCGTATTATATTTTCTGTGACTAGTGATTTGCCTATATATATGGGCATGATGTAATATAACTCCCATATACGGACATGTATGATGTTATTGTCACACCCATGAGTAAATCAGGTATTTTTTCAAAAGTTGGTTGTGTCAACAGAATTAGAATAAAGCTGTCACACTCAGATTGTTTTTGCCAGTTTGTTAATATTTCATCCAAAACTGTTTAAATGATTTGCGTTATACATTACATATGTTAAAATTTTAATGAATGTTTTAATTACCTGGTATGTGAATAAGAGGTGTAGATAGTCTTAACTTAAAACAAAACATGTGATGAGAGAACTTGGACAGTCTCCTGAAGTCTACTGCATGTACAAGCAGCAGGATTTATTATTAGCTGAAATCTCTCATCATTCATACTAGTACAGGTGGCACGCTTGGTTAAAATAAAATAAATATTTATCTAATTTTTCAAGGTAAAATAATGCACAGTGTTGACTACAAGGATGCCATCACTAACGGCCTCATTGGTCAAAGAGTTGTGATCGTTGGCATCGGAAACAGTGCAGTGGATGCTGCTGTTGACTGTGCTACAGTTGGAAGGTAGAGCTAGACTTCTTTTTTACCTCTTTTGTGATTATTCCATATGAATAAAATTTCTTTGAAGCACAACAAAAATAAAATTGAAAATAATATCCTGCTTGTAGCTTCCTTACTCTCATTATGGTGCTTAGGGAAGGAAGTTGTTTTTGGTGTGAGAAAAATTGATCTGTTATAGTATTTAGAGGAATTGACCCAGAGATTGGAAGGCAAGCATCTTAACCACCAAACCATTCAACTTGACCCCACCTACCCTTCTTTTCCTCACACTCTCTACTTAAATAATGCATGTTCACCTAAGGGAGTGAAGTTGTTTTTGGTTTTGAGAAATATTGATCTGTTATATTGACAGGAATTGAACCCAGGACCCTAGGATTGGAAGGCAAAGCGATTCAACTCCACCCCACCTACCAATTTTTCCCTCACACCATACTTAACTGTCTTTTTCTCGCACTTTGTACTTCAATTATGTGATACTTGTTCACTTAAAATCATCTTTAATTTTTTTTCTAGGTGTAAACAAGTTGTGATTAGTACTCGCTCTGGGGCATGGGTTGTTCCAAATTACGTTTTTGGTGCACCGGTGGATCACTATGCTTCTCGTTTGTTCTTGTGGCTGCCATGGAAACTTAGCAACTACATATTTGAGACTGTAATATCTATGCTTACAGGACATCCAAATAAGTATGTATTTTGATTGATATTACATCATTAATGTACATCAGTTGGTGATTAAAGAAGGGAACATTTTTATATGCTTACCAATGCAATTTTGTACAGACCTTACAATGCAATTGTGTAAGGCCAACGATGCCATTGTTTAATGCCCTTGAGTAGAAGGAGCACTAAAAGAATTGATATTATAAATAAAAATCTGAAGTACTGTCTATGTAGTATAAGTATGTTATAAACAGAACAAAGCAAATATAAATACTAATTATTAAGGTAATTAAAATTTTAACAGCACAACAAAGCTTTTAAAATAGTACCAGAAATAATTGTGTAATGAAATTAAAGGACAAATCTCAAGGATTAATACAGAAATAATTTAAGGTTTATATAAAAAAAAAATAAGATTTAAAGTTATTGATTTGTATTTAATATTCAAATGTATTATTAGCTCATAAAAATACATCCATTATCTTAGTGTACACATAGTTCAGAGCACAATTTCTATTTCTTTAATTATAACAGGTTTACATATTACGAAAATTTACATTCTTAAACGAAAATATTGTTTAATCATTTTTGACTAAGGAAGTACATGTATTTTGGGTTTCATTATCCTTTATCTTATAAATATTTAATCATCAGAATATGAAAATTAAATGTACATATTCCAGTGACTTGCAGTCATAACAAAAAAGAGAATCATGTTAGGAATTATTAATTCTTGTATAACAGTTGTTGTGAAAAAAAAGAAGTGTGGGTTTGACAGAATTTGAACCTATTGTTTTTTTTTTCTATTTTTTAATAAAATTTATACTAAAATAAATTGATTGCATAACTTTTTTTTATCTGTTTTTACTGTATTGTTATATCTAATTATATTATATAGTTTATTTATTGTTAGGTAAGACGTTATTAAACTTTAATTTATATTTCTTCCCCCCCCCCCAATGCATTTATTCAAACGATTAGCTCATAAAAATATGTTCAATATTAAAACCGAACACTCATTGCTCCCAACGGTCGTCAGCCTACGCGCTTTTATGGAGAACGCAACACCATGACGCTAGTGCAACAGATCGTTCGTAAATGACGATCAGCTAACACTACCACCGACAATCAGCAGACAGCATTGCATCGTCTAACGTTCACAGGAAGCGGAGTTGGATTCGTTGGCCGACGACGATATGACGCAGTGATTGCCCGGTTTTACATTGTGGTTGGGAGTTCAAACCACATGCTAACCATTCCATGCATAGATTCTATGCTTCACTGTTAACTGGGCTGTGAAGAGGTTTATGCTATGTTTTAGCCCTAGGTGTGAGTATTTCTTGGCTTACATATAAGATAGATATTGTTGCCCCTCCCCCCTCCCACCCCTTCTCATCAATAAGGATGTCAATGCCAGGTAAAACCAAGATAAAAAAAAAAACATTGTATTAAAATTTTACTTTATATTCGGGACAAACAATCCTGGAAAATCCAGGAATGTAAACATCAAATAAATAACCACCAGGCTATATCTTCATTCAACTATTGATATGATGGTTTTTCTCTTCCAGCTTTACAAGAATGTGTTTTCTCCAAAAATTGGAAGTTCACTAGCATTCATCGGATTTGTTCAACCGGCATCTGGAGGCATACTGAGCATGTCCGAAACACAAGCAATGTGGTTCACTCAACTGTGTCGACAGAAAGTAAAATTACCAAGTCCCCAAGAAATGGAGGCAGACATCAAAAAAGAAAATGTAATTATATTTTGTGCATTATTGTTGAAAAATTCATTGAAGGACATCAATTAGCAATTGTAATTGTATTAGTAAAATTAATTGTATTAGGCTGTAAGTCTATTCATGTAAATATGTTTTAATATACAGTTTTATGAATATATCTTCAGTAGCCAAACCATAGAGATGAATTTAAAAATAATATCAAGTGGTTTGATATGATTTAATTTAATTTTCAAAAAGTAGTGATTAAACTATGTAGCCAAACTGCAATCTTCAGCCCTGTGTAGACTAGCATACAAAAACATGTGATATGCCTAAATATGGTCATATTCACATGACCATATACAGTAATTATAGGCACATCAAGCCTTTAGATACAGTATGTATATAACTCAAAGAAAGTATGATGGTGTAAACAAAGCTTTAAAGCTTAATTTGTTTGTCTTAAAGGAAGAAGCTGGTAATCGTTACTTCAAATCAGCCCGACACACCATTCAAAAGGACCCGATCCTGTATAACGATGAAATATCAAGTTTTATTGGTGCTAGGCCTCAGTTGTGGAGACATCCTACTATGGCTATTAGGTGAGTTACTACTGGAATTGGCGTATCTAAGATGCGGGGGGGGGGGGGGGGGGGGGGTGGCGTAAAGGTGAAGTGGTCTATGACATGTTCTGGTTCATTCCTAATGGCCCTGTCACATCTTGACGATTTATCCAGCGTATGAAAAATTTAGTGAATATGCTGGTGTACTGTATGTTGAATAAGCTATGGGTATGTTTTGTATAAGTTAAGAGCACGCTGAAGCACTCTGGTATACGCCGTAGTAGTACGGTGAGTACGTCGAGAAATTTTGTGCATGCACACAATTTTTCAACGTATGTCAGTGTATGGCTCATACGTCCCGCATATGCTGGCCATAAGTTGTAGGTAAGTTATGTGAAAATAGGATAATGTCTAGCGTCCTCAAAACTTATTTCTAACCTGTGAGTAACATGCTGTGAACCTATGTGTAACTGATATTGAACTTATCTCCAATGCATATTGAGATACTGTATGTAGATGTATTTGACCTGTTTCGGATGACCACAGAACTTACTGAATGTGTTTATAACTGACAGCTACAGTATAATGCCATAATGGCAGCGTTTAGGGAAATTGGTATATAAAAATGGGTGATGTTGATACTGCAATGGTGATGTTGATACGATGTCTAGTGCAGTTATGACTTGAATCGACAAACGGCAGCCTTTTTATAGGCTATGTCACATGATCGTCGGCGATACACTTCCACGCGCCATGCTTAAGTTAGACTGTCGTTAGGCATAAGTTGTGACTGGCAACACGCTAAGCATTCGTTGGTATAAGTTATCTATAAGTTATCAACACGTTCTATATAAGTTACTAATACATTATATATGTCCAACTCGTGAATACGTTACAGTATATATACGCCCAAAATTTAAAAAAAAAAAGAAACATTGGTAGTCCAGCGTTTTGGAGAAATTTTGATATGTTGGCATACGCTGGTTTAATCGTCAAGGTGGGACAGGGTCATAATAACTTTTTCTTCACATGTTTTGTGTAGGTTGCTGTTCAGTAGCTGTGGTGCAGCTCAGTGGCGGTTACAAGGGCCGTTTCAGTGGTCAGGGGCAAATGAGACGGTCAGAAGTGTGCCAATTACAGACTTCTACAAGTATTCCTTGGTCGCTGTTTTGGTACTTTTTTTTGCTATCTTCTACAATCTGCTGTATTTTTTCTGGTAAATTTTGATTATAATAAAATATTAATTAGAATTTAATCAATGTGATTCTAATTATATACTCATATGCTTGTTGCTGCCATAAAAAGCAAGTTCAGTAAATATGATGTAAATGATTATGTATATAATCATGATATAATTAAAGAGAATATTTTTATTACAGTAATTACTGACTTGTAATAAAGGATTTTACTTAAAGTAGACAATAGAATATAGGGAAAAAAAAAGAGATTAAAGTGGACAAGAAGTAGAATGTAGTAGTTCATAGTTATTTAGCCTATGTTTAACATAGTAGTAGCTTATAGTAACAGACCATACATGAACTTTGTGGTTTCATCTGGGTTATTCAGACACCCATAAAATGGGCATCATATACTATAATTTTTCATAGAAAAGGCCAAAGATGGTGTTGGTTATCTAAACACAGGAGGCATTTTCATGATCTTACTTTAGTAAATAATTTGAAAAATATTTAGTGCAATAACATTTTTTATTGTGATTGTTTATCATTTATTGACCTATTAATTTTTTTTTATTTTATTGAATTTTATCTACACTAATTATGAAAATAGATATTGTTAATGTCAGTATTATTAGCAGTATGGAAAACTTCACGTAAAATAGACCACGATTTGGGACAGTAATAGTATATTAATGTTGATGAAATACTTATATTGTTGTTTTTTGATAATAAATCATAAATCATGATAAACCATGATAATAAACCAAGTGAGTGTATACTGTAGTTCTTGCTAGAAAAAATGTTAAGACCATCTTTAACTGAACTGTCTAAATGTAAAGAATTGTTAAAGAAAAATGTGTATGAATTTTGATGAAATACTTAATAGTATTAATATTGCTGTTACTCAATTTATTTTTATTATTATTTTTTTTATCATCAAAAACCATGTTAATAAACGTGAGTGAGTGTATAATGTAGTTCTTGCTAGAAAAAATGTTAAGACTATCTTAACTGTGCTGTGCACATGTAAATCAATTATCGAAAAGAAAGAAGTATATGAATATTGATGAAATACTTTTAGTATTATATTGTTTTTAATTATTTTATCGAAAACCATGATAATAAACGCGAGTTTCACGCATGATAAAAAAGTCTGCTTCTTTCCTTGAATTAAATTATGTAATAGCCTTATTATAGTTTGCAATTTATCTCCTCAATAGTTTGATATAATGAGATGTCCTAGATTCACTCAATGAGATGTCCTAGATACACTCTTTATTGTTTGTTAGTACATGGTACTGTGCTAATAAATAATCATTACTAAATCTAGAACATCTATTATATTACATTACTTTATCAGTCTATTGAAGTTGTGAATTAGGTTTGTCATGAATCTGCCATAATAGGAAAGAAAAGTTTATCATGAAATTCGTTTCTTTAATAGATTAGTATTAATTTGATTTTCAAGATTTATTAAGGATTAGGTATTCACACGGTACAAGTCTTCAGTTGATTTATTTTATGTTTCTGACAGAACTCCATTCGGTATACAAAGATTGTAAAAAATGGGAACAAACAATTGACGTTCATTGACTGATTTATAGTCAATTTAAACAGACACAACATAAATTGACTATATATATTTGAATTTTCTTGTATCATAATGGTAATGACTGCATCAATATTAATGACAATATTTCATGATAATGGACATGTACTATGTACTACCTTATGTATAGTTAATAAACAACCACAAGATTGCCTTTTCAGAATAAAATTGTGTATGATGTTTAGGATTTTTGTTGTATCCCACTGGCATACCAAAGATGACCCAATAAGTACAGTGACGCCTTTGATATACATTAGTTGAAGGCTTTAATGTCGACGCTTATGCACATTAATTTACAATAGATACAATAACATATTTTCGTCAGCGAGGCTACTTAAGCAAGGTTTTACTGTAACCATTGGGAGTCAGCTGCCTCATTAATAAATATTATAATTTAAAAAAAAATACTAAGGTCCCACAAGACGACTGTTGAAACATGCGCAAAAACACGTGCGTTTTGGGGCAACACGTGTGTTTGATCTGATTGGTCAATTGTTAATTTTGATTAACACTCTGAAAAGGTCTATTGTGTGGTAGGGTGACCAGTTCCTTTACACGCCGCATTTTTCCTTACCAGTAGTGAACCACCAGGTGCTCATTTATACTCTTGGGTGGAGAGAGACAAACGTAAGTAAAGCCGATGGCGCCAGGATCTGCCTGACAGTGGTGGGGGCGAAGCGAGCCGAATTGGCTGGAGGGAAGGGGTCGGTTAAGGGCCCACTGAAAGCCACGGATACTTGACGAATTTTGGTGAATTTTATGAGTTATTTGATAGGCATCGAGCTCCCGTAATATGACTTCATGCATGTCGAAATCGACTTCCAAAAGTGACATTTTTGAATAAAACAACGAGAAACAAAGAGTATTCAATGTAACCATCTAATTTATTTTCGAATCCGTTTTCCTTAAATTTTATAAACACCGTACCGTATTACAATACTATTCTGCCATCACGTTGGAATCCAGTTTTTTCATTATCCATGTGATTGTGATTAGGCCAAAAAAAAAATTTGTGTTGGCCACGTTTTGGGAAAATCCCAAAAATGGGTAGGTTGGTAGGAAAACTTTCTTTCTCTTTTTTTTTTTAACAACTAAAAATGTGTTTACGCCTAAAAAGTAGAAAATACACAAATAATACAACAATTTTGGCTTCGCATCGCGTAACATCCAGTAAAATAGGCTAGACCTTCGTCCCTAGCCTGGCCAAGACTATTTCAGCCTTGTTTTGCTCATAAAAAAATACTTTTCATTTTAGTCAAGCAAAAAAAAAAGAAAAAAAAAAACCTAAAATGCCGACCCTAATTTTCATAAAATTTGGGTCGGTCGGGCGCAGGGGTGGCGCCAGGTTTTGCCCGACGAGGGGACCGAAGTTCCCGACGGGGGGGGGGGGGCCGATGCCCTCGACGAGGTGTCCGATTTCCCCCGAGGAAAGCAAAGTGGGCGTGTTCGAGCTTCGATTAAAAGGTTTCGAAAATGTCCAGGGGCGAAGCCCCCGAAACTTTTATGTTTGATTTAGGGGTTTCAAAGGCTTATTTAATCGA